CTATTAATTTCCTACTCCTAATGGGATTTGGTCAGCCAAGATTATCACATATGGGCACTATATTTCCTCCAAAATTATAGGAGGTTTTGTACGTGAATACTAACTCTCAACAAGGAACTCACGGCTGGATTTTCTGTTTAAGCGGCTACGCGCAAGACGAAAACGAGGACACCTCTCAACATCATAATCGACATCTATCATTTTTATTCCTTTTCTGTCTTTTATTTCATGTATATTTTATTCATTTTTCCTAATTTAACCTAGATAACATAGTTTTTTGCCTGTTTTTCTTATAGAAATAGGTAGTCATTTATCATTTTTTACTTCAGTGAATTCGATTCTTCTTTATAATAGCGCTTTATCGACGCTCCTTGTAGCTAGTCAGTGCTACCTATCTCTTTTTCTCCCTAATTTAATGAATTGATGGCCACCACTTTGGCTTGTCTTGCTTCTACCCTATATATTTTCTCATTATAATTAAACCGAAGTTAACCTTAAGTCCGCGATTTTTAGGTCCGAGGTCGGCTTTTGAACTCATCTATAATCACTTGATTTTGTATGTTTTAGGAAATTTTCCCCCCTTCTTTCTCACGGTTTAGGATGATTTTTTCAGCACAAATATAATGACACGTCCAGTGGAACAAGCTTTGGTTTGATTCCTAGATCGTGGTGGTCTTTCTTCTTAAAATCTCTATTTTCAAAATATCTTTTTCTTCTCTAAAAAAAAAATCTCTATTTTCTTTCTTATCATGGATTATTCCAATAACCATATTTATGGTCTTAGTAGTCATAGGGATTTGATCTATACTTCTTCTCCATATAATAGGTCATATAATTAATAATTCTCAATCTTTATATTCTTATAGTCCATTACCACTTGGTGGACATATCTCTTAACAGCCCTTAGTTTTAACAAGTAGCACATAATTCTTTTGGGGCTGAAAATAATATCGGATGGCAGGCTACCCTTGATGACCGCTTTCCTCAATCCTGTAGTCAATATGGTGCGAAACAACAATCTAGTTGTGTTGATAGATGGCGTGATGGGCTTATGGTGCAAGATCCCTCAAGATTCAGGGGGGAGGGGGGCCGTTGGTTGTATTCCCATGGTTACACCTAACAGTCAAAGTATGGTGCAACAGGGGCCGGTGCAGCAGCAACAATAGGTGTTGATGGTGCAGCATCAGCAAGTTCTGTTGCAGGCGTAACCACTGCAGGTTTTGTCACCGCAACATCGGCGAGTGCAGATGCAGGCACTGCACCAGCAGCTTTTGTCGCTGCAACATCTGCAAGTTCAGATACAGGCGATGCGATAGCAGGTTCTGTCGCCACAATATCAGCGAGTTCTGCCACCGACGCATCAACAACAATTGCTGTTGGTGCAACATCAGCGAGTAGAATTATTGGCACAACAACATCAGGGTTCGTCGGCATAGAATTTGCAGGTGGTATAGCAAACTCAGTAGACGCAAGAAGCAAGTGAAAGTTCAGTTGCAACAGCAGATCAGTTGCAAGAAAGTGTTGTGACAGACTTATCGTTGACACCCAGGGGGCTAATTAGTAATTATGTGCAGCTTATTTTTGATGCACTACGTATTGCTTTGTCTTCTAATTTTGATGTTGAAGGTGCCAAGTTTACGGAAAACCTACAGAAAGAGTCTAAGTACCCCCAACAAGTGTTTGTCGCTTCAGAGTAATAGGTGTCATAGCAATTATATACAGTTTCGGCGAGTGAATCATTGACGATTGCTAAAACTACAGTTGTTACTGAGCATTATGAGCATACTAATTCGTTTTGTTTGTCTAATGAACCTATTATTGTTGAAAATTAGTTTGTCGAGGTTGATTGCAGGAAATTTTATGAGTCTTCTAGCAGCGACAATAATATTGAGGAGATTATATGTGATAGCCTTGAAAATGTTTCACCTGCAACTGATAATTCTGTTTGTTCAAGTGTCTACAAAATTATGGGCGAGCAGGAGCAAGGCCAAGTGTCAAAACTTAATGCCAATTTATCTGTGATAACTGAATCGGCACAATGCCTAGTTGCTGATGTTCCAAAAGAAGTAGCAGTAGACCAACAGATTGGAGTTTCTGGTGATGGCTTCCAAGATCGGCGGTGCAACAGTACTGCCGAATTGATCAATGATACAACATATTTTTTTGCCAATTAAGCAGAAGTGTCATTATGCCTGGCTTTATGACATGAGACGTTCTGCCAACAGAAGAAGCAAGCGGAGTAAAGAGAAGCCAATACCACATGGTTTTCACTTTGCAGAAAAGGTTGATGATGGTCCCCAATAACGCGGTATTGTTTTTTATGGCGGTGATAGTAATTGTTTTTGATGATTTTCACTTAGGCTAAACCGAAATTAACCATAAGTACTCGATTTTAGGTCCGAGGCCGGTTTTTGAACTCATCCACAATCCTTAATTTTGTATGTTTTAGGAAATTTTGCCCCCTTCTTTTTCACGGTTTAGAGTGGTTTTCTCGGCACAAACAGTTGTCCCTTTTTGTAATAACGTGGCATACACGAGGATGACAAAAAGTCGGAAACTTCCAATGTGCTTCTCTTGATGATTATCGTGGAGTTGTGTACTTAATCAGATGCAATAATTAGATGTCATTGCTTAATTAAATGGTATTCTTATAATGAAATTGTGGACTAAATTTTACTTGTCCATAACATGAAACGATTGGTTGGTAATGAAGAAAGTGAATTTACAAGCAAAAATATGAATCAAACAACGTCTCAAATTGACGTAGCCATGTATAAAGGACTTTCTCCATTTCAAACCATTTAAAAATAAGAGTCACATTTGTTAATTAACAAACATGATTCTTATTTTCAAATTAAAAAAATTTATCTCAATACCTTTGGTTTCCATTTATTTATAAAACTTCATCCACCATTACGTTTTAGTTTCTTTATCATCACTAATACAACCAGTTAAAAGATATGGTACATTTGATCAATCACATTTGTTCCAAGGGTTTCGGTCTTCCGCAAAAGAGCATAGTCCGTGATATTTTATTTCGCTCTTTTTAGTACAAATTTTAATCTAATTAGCGTAGTTAACTATTCATTTAACCGTGAATAACTTTAGTTCACTAGTTCTGACCAGAGAAAGTACTAAAAGAAAATATATCATCCTAAAAAAAAAAAACAGAAGCGTTTCTTTTATGAAAGATTATGTTTCAATGAAACCATCTATACGTGTGATCTGGGGCTCTTCTATTGTAATCATTCACTAATTAAATTTAATTATTTTATCCCAAAAGCATCTGTCATTTTTTCTTGTACAAACAGCCTGGCAAAACTTTACATTGTCATTAGTTCAATCCAGTTTAAATGAATGAAAGTAGAAGCGCATGGAGAACTAAATATAGTGAAGCAACCAAGTTTGACTAACTACGAGTCGGTGATCTCGAAATTCATATAGAAAGAACACTTTTGTAACTTAGAAAATAATAAAAATCTTGCACCCCTAATTTCATCAGCTTATATAAAGACCCTCCAATACTTCCCACTATCCATCCCTCAAAACATTATCATCCTAATTATAAATTTCTTGTCAATCCGATCCTTCAAATTAGTATAACATCATGGCTTCCATTTCCAACATCATTGCTACAGCCATGGCTGTGTTACTTGCTTTCCTCCTTTTTCATCATCAAGAAATCTTGCCCGCGGCTGAAGTACAATCCGTAACCTGTCAGAGTAATTGTACGGTTACTTTTAATAGTTGTGAAGCCCGGTGTCATAAGTTCGAATCATCAAAAAAAAAAAAAATAGTTCAGTTTAACAAAAGTCAAAATTCATTGAATTGAAATGACTTAAATATCCAAAATGTAGTGGTATGAAAAACAAGGTCCACTTCTTTTGATTTTCATTTTTTTAGTTTTCTCTTATTTTTTCAAATGATTATATCTTTTAATACATGAATAATTAAAAATGTGTTATATATCAAATTAATCTACGTAATGAGATCTTTCCATCAAGATCCATTGTCAATATTTTTTGAGATAAAAATTTTGATCAAATTTAAGTTGTAAAATAAATGCATATGTAGTTAAATTTTATAGAAATAACTAGAAAGGGCATTAGTGGAAGTTAGGAGAATGAAATGAGTTGTACATTTAGTGTGTTGACCAAATTAAAAAAGTTGTACAGTTTCAAACTGAACTATTTTTGTAGGACGGAGGGAGTATATAAGATTTTTACAGATATTACAAATTCCTGATTGTGAGCTTGAAAATGAATATTTTTGAAAATTGCTGAGAAACTCCCGACTTCAAAAGTCCTTTCATTGACGAGTTTAAACTTTCAACCCATTGTCATTTTGGCCCTTAAAGTTCCATTTCTGTGCTATTTAGTTTTCAAGTTTATCGATTTTACATTTTCAAAGATGATTAATTGTATCTCATATTTTATTAGAACTACATCTAATCTCCAAAATCCACTTGCCTATAAAAATAGGTCATATGCATCTAGACATAATTTATGCATTTTTTAAATATATTTTTTAAACCAAACATAACATTAGTTAGTGGTGACAATTTTTATAATACAACTTTTGAAAATCTTTGTTGTAATATTTTTTACTAGATCTTACAAATATACCTCTCATAAATAATATCAATACCTCTCATTTTGATCTAAAACTGATTAATCAAAAAAATATTACAGTTTTAAGAAATATTAGTAACTATATTTTTTTAAGAGAATAAGGACGGTATATTTGTAACTACATTATCTAATCAATTCTTTTGAAATATAAATTTTCAACATTGACAAAGCCGCTCAAAGCGCGGGACACACACTAGTTCATATAGAAAGAACATTTTTGTATCTTAGAAAATAATAAAAATCTTACACCCCTAATTTCATCAGCTTATATAAAGACCCTCCAATACTTCCCACTATCCATCCCTCAAAACATTATCATCCTAATTATAAATTTCTTATCAATCCGATCCTTCAAATTAGTATAAGATCATGGCTTCCATTTCCAACATCATTGCTACAGCCATGGCTGTGTTACTTGCTTGCCTCCTTTTTCATCATCAAGAAATCTTGTCCGCGGCTGAAGCACAATCCGTAACCTGTCAGAGTAATTGTACTGTTACTTTTAATAATTGCGAAGCCCGGTGTCATAAGCTCGGATCATCGACCGAGCCACTGCAGTCAAGGAGCTGCATCAATAAGTGCAAGAAGAAGCAAACCAAATGTTCTCACAAATGTGCTAAATGTTGCAACGGTTGCAACTCTGTGTACCATCATTGCACCAAGAGGTGTATCAATCTTGGTGATCCACTTGTGCTTAGGCCCTGTAATGATAATTGCACGGGCCAGCGCTTCGGAAATTGCTACCTAAAATGTGGTGGTTGTGTATCATGGGAGTCGGGTAGAAGAGTCGGGTTACTCATTCGGTATTTTCAATTTTGGGAATTAGGGTGCAGAGACGATGTCGTTTGGCTTAATTGGGGACCAAGCAATGTCGAAACTTCCTGGAAGACTCTTCCATGTAAGTTGACAAAATGTACTGCCATAGTGAGCTGTAATATGGCTGTTTTTCATGTTCTTTCTGTCCCTTTTTCATTTTTCTAAATTAATTAGCTAAGTTATCAAGATTAGAAGGAATCATTTAGCTATATACGATGTAATAGTTTTCTTGGCGGAGATTCATTCGTTAATTATGAAAATGGAAGCTCCTTCTTTTCCAATATCCTCCCTCTGCATCACATTTGGTATCCAGAGCAGTAGATCTCTTGGATTGTGTCTTTTAAATGGCTGAAACGAGATCTAAAATGCAGCAGTTGGAAGAACATGCTAAGAAACAGGATCTTCAAATGATTGAGGTCAATGAATGGAGGAGACAGATGGAAAAACAGGTTCTTGAAAGTCAAGGTAGTAAATTGGGGATGAATTTGGAAGCTAAGATCGATCATCAGGCTAAGCAGTTTGCCAGTCTCAGTAATCAGTTATCAAGTCTTCTACAAATTTGGCAGAAAGATGAAAACAAGGGAGCTTTGCATAGTGAAAAATCCCCCCTGCTGCCTAGTCTATCTGGCGTTTCCAAAATCAACCTTGAAGAGGAATCCCCCACTCCATGGAGAGCTAAAGGAGGTAAGAATTCGTGGCTTAATCAACCAAGAATAGAGCTTTCTAATTTCTATGGAGAAAATTCTCGTGAATGGTTAAGGAAATGTGAAAAGTGATTTAGCATCCATAATATTGCTGATATGGATAAGATGGATGTTATTGAACTATATTTAGATGGTAAAGCAAATCTATGGTATCAAAGTCTGAAAAGGATGAAGGGATTAGTAGCTTGGATTGATTTCAAAAGAGAATTGGTAAGAGATTTGGGGAAAAAGGGGGAATGAATGAAATTGAGGAATTTAACAAGTTACAACAGTTTGGTTCTGTGTTGGAATACCATGAGAAGTTTGAGGAGTTGAAATCTCTGGTCTTGTGCAATGATCCTCGATTAATAGAAACTTATTTTAGATCTAGCTTTATTAGTGGGTTAAGAGAGGAGCTTAAACCCATGGTTAGACTGCTAGAACCCCAAACCCTGTTGAGAGCTTTTGAGATTGCTCAAGTACAAGAGAAAAATCTGGAGTTTGCAGTAAAAGAAATGGCAGTGAAGAATTGTAGTTCGATTCATCAACCCTTTAAACCATACCAACCACAGAGAAGGATCACTGATAGAAACCAAATGGGGAATTCAGGGTTTAAGAAATCAGGCAATGAGTCCTTAAGAGCATAGCCCCTCAGGAGATCCAATATAGGCGCAATAATAATCTATGTTGGAAATGCAGTGAAAAATGGGGACCAGGGCATGTTTGTAAACTCCAGCAAGTCAATTTTATTGCAGCAGAAGAAGATGAAGATTTAGGAGATTTGAATTGGATAATGGGAGAATCAGAAGAAAATGCTCTAATGGAAGTTGACAGGACTGCACCACTGAATGCCATAACTCAATTAGAAGTCTGTTTTGCTATGAATGATGAAGATAGGAGGATTATTGTAGTTATTGGCTATATTGGAAAGGTGTCTATTAAAATCCTGGTGGATACTGGAGCTGCAAAGAGCTTTTTGAGTAGCAAGTTAGGTATGAAACTGGGATTCATGGTTAGAAAGGTTAAACCATTCATGGTAATTGTTGTTGATAGCCACAGAATCACTAATGATCAAATCTGTCATGGAGCTCAACGGTCAGTACAACAACACAATTTCAAGTTTGACTTGAAGTTCATGGAGTTAGGTCATTGGGATCTAATCCTAGGCACTGATTGGATGACTTATTTTAGCCCCATTCTCTTTGATTATGAATCCTTCTAAGTCCATTTACACAGGAGGGGAGAAGTGTTTATTTTACGAGGGCAATCCATAGATCAATATGACAGAAAGGAAGCTGAATACAGGAGAAGATTGTATGATCAAAGGAGGGAAGAATATGATATATTAAGAGAAGTACAGTTAGAAGAAAGAACGAGAGTAATGAGTGATCTGAAAAGACAGAGAGAACAGTCCTTCAACTGGGATGAATTTGAAAATGCTGGTGTTTTAAGTGTTGTCAATATTGGAGATGTTCCTTTAGAGATTATGAAGTGTTGGATTCTTATTCTGAAATTTTTCAGGAATCATCATCACTGCTACCTGTCAGGTCTGTGGATCACCAGATATGTTTAAAACCATATACAACTCCTTTTATATTAAAGCCTTACAGGAACTCTCATGCCCACAAGAATGAAATAGAAGAGCAAGTGGATGATATGTTAAAGGAGGGAATCATACAGGAGAGTAACAGCCCCTATGCATCACCTGTGTTGTTAGTACCAAAGAAGGATTGGAGACTTTGTAATGATTACAGGCGCCTAAAGGCCTTAACTATTAAGAGCAGTCACCCTATTCCAGTGATAGAAGAATTACTTGATCAATTAAGGGGAACTAAATACTTCTCAAAGATTGATTTAAGGTCAAGTTATCACCAAATCAGATTGAAACCAAAAGATATTCCAAAAACTGCTTTTCAGATCCATCATGGGCATTTTGAGTATTTGGTAATGCCTTTTGGCTTAACCAATGCTCCTGCCACTTTTCAGACTCTGATGAACCAAATTTTCAAACCTTATATCCGCAAATTTTTGTTGGTATTTTTTGATAATAGACTCATATATAGCCTGACTCTCCAAGACCATATTTCTCACCTCACTGTTGTGTTGCAAGTATTGAAAGATCATGAGTTGTATGCTAAAAGAAGCAAATGTTCATTTGCTCAAACTGCAATTGAATACTTGGGGACTGTAATCTCAGAAGCTGGCGTTGATATGGATGCTAGCAAGGTGGAAAGTATAAAAGAATGGCCATCTCCTACGACTGTTAAGCAGTTAAGACGATTTCAGGGGCTTGCTGGTTACTATAGAAGATTTGTAAAAGGTTTTGGGATTATTATTAAACCTCTTACTAATTTACTCATAAAAGATGCATTTCAATGGAACCAAGGAGCAGAAGCAGCTTTCCAGAATTTGAAAAAGGCCTTGATGAATGCTCATGTATTGCAACTACCTGACTTTAACTTGCCATTCATAGTGGAGACTAATGCTTGTGCAATAGGTATAGGAGCAGTGCTAATGCAGGAAGGTAGACCTATTGCTTACCTCAGTAAAGCCTTCGCTCTTAGGAACCAAGGGTTATCAATTTGTGAAAAAGAGCTCCTTACAGTGGTTATGTCTATAACCAAGTGGAAACATTACCTCCAAGGTCATCACTTTATCGTTAAGACAGATCATCAAGCACTCAAATACCTCCTGAAATAGAAATTGACTACACCAATGCAGCACAAAAGGTTAGCTAAGATTTTGGGTTTGGATTATGAAATCCAGTATAAAAAAGGCAAGGAGACTATTGCAGCAGATTCACTGTATAGACTCCATGGTGATCCAAATCAAACTGAAGAACTTAATGTCATTTCTGTTATTCAGCCTGTTTGGATGCAGCAAGTGGAAAGTAGTTATGTGGGAGATGATACAGCTCAACGGATGATTGCTTCAGTTGTTCTGAGACCTGAAACTGCTTTAGAAATCCAGTTGGTAAACGGAATTCTCAAGTGCTCAGGAAAGATCTATGTGGGTAATGGAGCTGGTGTCAACAACTATTGATGGAAACTTTTCATTCTTCCCCTCTGGGTGGACATTCTAGCCAAAAAGCCACTTATCAGAGGCTGTGTTCTATTGTCACTTGGAAGGAAATGAGAAAGAAGGTTGAGAACTTTGTCAGACAATGTCAAGTGTGTCAAATGCATAAGTCTGAACATGTGCCATATCCAGGATTGTTGCAGCTACTGAAAATACCACAAAAGGCATGGAAGGAGATCTCAATGGATTTCATTGACAAACTCCCACCAACAGTTGAAGGATTTACTTCCATTTTTGTAGTAGTGGACAGACTCACTAAGTATGGACACTTTATACCTTTGCAACACCCATACACTGCCAAAAGCATTGCTGACATCTTCTTTAAGGAGATTTTCAGGCTACATGGAGCTCCCAACTCTATTGTAGGTGATCGCGACCCTATATTTACTTGTCATTTCTGGCAGGCTTTATTCAAGACCATGGGAATTACTCTGAGCTTAAGTAGTGCTTACCATCCACAAAGTGATGGACGGACAGAGAGACTTAACCAGTGTCTTGAAACATACCTAAGGTGTTTTTGCAGCCAAAACCCAAGCTCTTGGTCATCTTGGCTGAGTTTAGCAGAGTGGTGGTATAATACATCCTTTCAGTTCAGTGCCAAAATGACACCTTTTGAAGCTCTATATGGGGGTAAGCCAACTAATATTCCAATGGGACCTTATGAATCAATGGTGATACCAGCAGTGGAAAATATGTTGGAGAAGAGAGCTGACATTTTGAGAACTTTGAAAGCTAATTTGGAACAGGCACAAATTCGCATGAAGTTCTATGCTGATAACCATCGCACTGAGAGAACTTTAAATGTAGGAGACTGGGTTTATCTCAAGCACCAGCCACACAAACAGACTTCTTTAGCCATTAAAGGTACTATGGACCATTTAAGGTACTAGAAAAAAGTGGGGCATGTTGCTTATAAGCTACAACTTCCTGTTCATTCAAGGATACATCCTGTTTTTCACATTTCTTTGTTTAAGAAGTTTGTGGGAACTCAACCAATCACACCAACTGAGTTACCAGAGTTGGATGATCCTGATTCTATTGCATTGGTTCCTGAATCTATTTTGCAAAGAAGAGTGATTGTCAGAAGAGCTAAGGAGATAGTGCAGTGGCTAATTAAATGGAAGAATTTGCCTGAGAAGGATTGTTCCTGGGAGGACTGCTCGTTTATCACACACCAATTTCCGGAATTCCAGACTTGAGGACAAATCAAATTTCAGATGGTGGCAATGTCATGCAAGTCGGGTAGAAGGGTCGGGTTACTCATTCGGGTATTTTTAATTTTGGGATTTATGGTGCAGAGACGATGTCGTTTGGCTTAATTGGGACCAAGCAGCGTGGAAACTTCCTGAAAGACTCTTCCATGCAAGCTGACAAAATGTATTGCCATAGTGAGCTGTAATATAGCCGTTTTTCATGTCCTTTCTGTCCCTTTTTCATTTTTGTAAATTAATTAGCTAAGTTATCAGGATTAGAAGGAATCATTTAGCTATATATGATGTAATAATTTCCTTGGCAGAGATTCATTGGTTAATTATGAAAATGGAAACTCCTCCTTTTCCAATATCCCCCCCTGCATCTGATTCTTCACCATTCTTTTGCTCTTCTCATCCCACTTCTTTCCTCATCTCCTCAATCTGATTTCTTCGTTTTACGGGTTATAAACCAGACGGTGCATCACATTGTGCTGTTAACCAGAGCCCGAGCCCGAAGCCCTGTTTCCGTTCTATCTTTTTTATTTCCTCCCTTCTATATTTATATTTTATAGTAATAATAATTCACCCAAAAATTTGTACTTTTCAATGATTATGAACTTCAAAGAGCTTAATGTATGCACTCTCAAGTCTCAATAGTTTGATAAAAGCATCTAGGCAGTCTACCATTAGTTGTGTTTTTTGCTTTATTTATAGAATTTTCCTTCTCTATTCTAATAATGTGTTATTGGTCTTTCTCATATTTTTTATTATTCTTTTTATCGGAGGGGGGGGAGGGGGGAGGGGGGGGGCGTTGTTGGACCTCAAAATGACATGAGTTTGCCCCAGCATAATAATTCACTGATAATTTATTGTTCTTTGTTAATGATATCATTGGTTAAACGGGATTTCCCCACCAACATTTATTCTTTATCAAAACAAATGACCACTTGCCTTAATGTTAATTAAAAAAAATTTTAAAAAAAATCTGTTCCAAAAAGAAAGCAAATTCCACAAAAAAAAAGAAACAGTTTTTCAAAAAAGAAAAAATGTAGAAAAAGAAATATTCGAATAGATTTGTTTTGTAAATACTTTCCAATTTGTAATTTGTTTAAATTGTCATATTTATAATTTCCCGCTCCCCGGTTTCTTTTGATATTAGGAAACAGGACTAATCCATATTAGTATTAGAAAATTCCCAAAGTTTTACACTAATCCCTCACCACTTCTCGTTGGTTCGTTGTCAGTTCACTATTGTAATCTTTTAATTAATTAGAAAAAGTGGTGAGGTAATGTTTGTCTGGATCGTTCCAAAAAATAATGATAATAATAATAAAATTAAAAAACTGAAAAAAACAAAAGAACCAGGTTAGCAAAAATAAGAATCATGAACAGATATGGACAAAGTTGTGCTGTTTGTCATTTTCGTCTTCATTGTATCTTTTCAAAATCCATATATAAAAAATTTTGTAAAACCCGTTGGAAAATATTAAACTAACTTTAACAAGGCACATTATCTTTTTCTGAAGACATGAAAATTACACCCTAAAACAATTAGGTATCACTATCCTGTAGTCCAATGAAAATCCATAAATGATTTAATTGGATAATATACAAACTTGTCCACGGGCAATTTCTTTGAATTATCTTTATTTGGTCTTTGTTATTTCATAAAATATACTACTACAACACTTAGAATTTTTTATTTTATGCGAAAAACATAAAACCTTTGGATTTTATATATGATCATTCACGAAAAAGACTAAGTGTTTTTATTTTGAGCTGATAAAAATAATCCATTACCTTTAAATTAATTTGGTTAGTTACTAGACAAAAAGGGTTTTGGTTAGTTATTTATGTCCCAGTTTCTATCTTTTTTTTTTTTCTTGTAAAAAACCAGTTTCTATCTTTATTTGTCAACGGTTTGCAAAACATCTTTTCATTTTTTGTAAAG